ACAGCAAAAAAGGAGCATGAAAAGAGATTCACAGAAAAGCGGTTACATTATGGACAGAATGCGATACTCAAAAGTAGTTAAAAAAATTATGCTTTATTACACAATACACATATGGACATAGAAGGTAAATACCTCAGTTCACCATCACTTCAGTATGAGATTATACATCAAAATTGACCTAAAATCACTTAAAAACAGACATCATGACCGGTCAAAGTAATAGAGTGCTGCAGATATAGTGACAATAGGTCTAATACATATGCAGCACTGACACAATGGTTACACTGCCAAGCAGGGGGTGTTTAAAAAAAATTGTACCAAATATGGCATAGCAAACAATGCAGTATATGGCTCATCATGTGTACCAGGTAGCAGATATAATTGCAATATGTCCATATGTGTATTGTGTAATAAAGCTTAATTATTTTAAGTACTTTTGAGTATCGCATTCTGTCCATAATTATTTATTTATTTCAGGTACTTATATAGCGCTGTCAATTTACACAGCGCTTTACGTATATATTGTACATTCACATCAGTCCCTAACCTCAAGGGGTGTACAATCTAAGGTCCCTAACTCACATTCATACATACACATACTAGGGGCAATTTAGACAGGAGCCAATTAACCTACCAGCATGTCTTTGGAGTGTGGGAGGAAAACGGAGTACCCGGAGGTAACCCACGCAAGCGCAGGGAGAACATGCAAACTCCATGCAGGAAGTTCCATGGTCGAGAATCGAACCCATGACCCATTTACTGCAAGGCAGACGTGCTAACCACTAAGCCACTGTTGTAACCGCTTTTCTGTGAATCTCTTTTCACGCTCCTTTTTTGCTGTCAGCCTCTATCAAACCCGTATACTGCAGAGCACATACTGGGGAATTAAGAAGCAGCAAAAAGAGACAGTCAATTGTGTTTCAGTGAAAGTGATGAAGTGATAAATCATCTACTTCTTCTTTCACTGTCCAGGCACAAGCCTGGGGAGGGGCAAGTATTATTGAACTGCAACAGAGAAGCATACAGTCTTCTTCCCTGCCATGAACTGATGGACAAACACAAATGTAGGGCAAAACATACATTATTATTATTATACAGTATTTATAAAGCGCCAATGGTTCGCTCAGCGCTGTACATTACAAAGGGGGACAGAACATGTGACAGAACAATACCAATACAATGCAAAACATGAGGGGATCGAGGGCCCTGCTCTTTGGAGCTTACAATCTAGGAGGGAGGGGATGGTGGCACAGGAGGAGATAGCTGTGGGGGACGGAGTGGTAGGAAGAGTGGAGGAGGTCGGCAAGTTAGCAGGGGGTGGGATAGGCTTCCCTGAAGAGATGGGTTTTCAGGGTGCGCCTAAAGGAGAGGAGAGTAGGTAATAATCTGATGGGTTGGGGCAGGGAGTTCCAGAGGATGGGTGACACCCTGGAGAAGTCCTGGAGGCGGGCATGGGGAGGAGGAGACCAGGGAACTAGACATACATATATACACATACGCAATGTAAAGAAGTGTTAATAGTTTATTTTATCATTTAAAAAATGGAAATTAAATGGATAGAAGAGGAATGCAAATCAAATCAATATTTGGTGTGACCACCCTTTGCCTTCAAAACTGCATCAATTCTTCTAGGTACACTTCCACACAGTATTTGAAGGAACTCTGCAGGTAGGTTGTTCCCAGCATCTTTGCAAACAAATCACAGATCTTCTATGGATATAGGTTGTGCTGATGGCACTGCTGGACATCTTCCGACGTCAAAGGAAAGTAAACATGATGTGTCTCATCTGCTGCATTGAGTTTCCTTCGCCAACCACTGCGACTACGGTCCTCAACGTTGCCCATTTCTTTGTGCTTGGAAATTAAACACATCTTAAAACCCAGGCAGCTATGTAATCTTATATCTGCATCAGCAAGGTCTCTTGCGGGCAAACTACCTTGGGGTCAATTCATTAAAAGATTTTGCATGCGATATGAAAGTAATGTTACCGGTTTTCAGAAATAACACAATAAAAGAGTCAATTTATCAAAGTGAAATATTGAATGTGATGTAAATACCTTACATTTGTAAAAATATGAGGTCAATACTGCAAAAAATTAAAGTCAGTTCACTAAAGAACAGACACAATTGTTGTTTATCACCTGCCAGTAGGCAGCCGGTACTTTAGCAATGTACAAAATGATAATGAAGGGAACTCTGCACTGGCCAATAAATTAAAAGTATACAATGTATCAGTTTGGAAATGCTCTGCCCTGAGCTCAGGAATGAAAATAAAATTGTAACATTTCACCATAAGGAGATCGTTCTGTGAATGAAAGAACACTAGAATGTATTGTTTCATATTATTTGCATATTCATTTTTGTAAAAAAAAAAGTGAAAAAACACCAAAAATAACTATAAATTTAAGTGGTAAATATCTCAAAGCATAAAATAATAATGTATTCAGTAAAAACTGCCTTTTTTAGTGAATTGACTAATTTTGAGATTGTGCTGTCTTGAGACATGAAACAGTTGTCCACAACCTCAACTTATTAGCAGAGTGTAGCTGTTCCTCACCCAGCTTTAAGCCTCCTACACAGCTGTTTCTGTTTCAGTTAATGACTGTTTTTCAACCTACTGTACATATGAAATTGATGACTATTAGCACCTGCCTGGTATAAAATGAATAAAGGCAGGAGAGAAGCAGTGTATACAGTGACTGGCTGTCACTATAGGTCAGTGCCAGTTTTTAAATGTAATTACCAGCTTTTTTTTTTCTTCACTATAGCTCACAGAATGAGCTGTCACTTTCCCCTCAGCTAAAAGAAACAAAGTTTCCTTTTAGTTTCTTTCCCAGCTAAAAGAAACAAAGTTTCTTTTAGCTCCCAGGAAAGCATCAGCTAAGTTTATGAACTATAGTGAAAGAAAAAAAAAAAAGCCAGCAACTGCATTTAAAAACCGGCACTGACATATAGGGGTTTATTTACTAAAGCTGGCGAGTCCAAAATCAGACTCCCTTCTGCATAGAAACCAATCAGCTTCCAGGTTTCATTGCCAAAGCTTCATTGAACAAGCTGAGGTTAGAAGCTGATTGGTTTCTATGCAGAAGGGAGTCTGATTTTGGACTCTCCAGCTTTAGTAAATAAACCCCATAGTGACAGCCAGTGAGGGAGCCTCTGTGTATACACTCCTACCTCACTGTATACACTGCTCCTCTCCTGCCCCCTCCTTGCACACACTGCCCCCCACCCCCTCCAAGAGGACCTGTCACTCATATGCTATCACATATTGGACTATTGGTTCCCTATGTGATAGCAATAAAATCATAAGTTAAAAAAAAAATAAATAAAAATATGAAAGTAGAAAAAACAAATATACAAAAAAAATTAGAGCCTCCCCACCCCCACATACGCAGACATTTCGGTTTTCGGACATATGCATTCTGAATTTCTGGTAACGGTTTCAGCAACAGAATTTTCATTTCGGTGCATCACTAATATATAGATTTAATTTCCCTGGAATTCAGCTGTAAGTACTACATTTCCACGTTTGATTACTGTGTATCTGTATGAAGAAAAACCTTAAAATAGGCAGACGAGTTGTGTCATTAAAGAATGACTCCACTTTTAGGTACATTGCCAGGATTTAAACAAACTTTGTTACAGATTCCTACCTTTTTTGTTTTGAAGAGAAAAGCTGTTTATCCCACTTTGTTTTTTGATACTGTTTCTATGCCTATTCTATGACTGTTTCTATGACTATGCCTAAAACCTGACTTGTTTCTTATTTTGCATTTATTTATTAACAGTACTTATATAGCGTTGTCAATATACACAGTGCTTTACATATATATTATACATTCACATTAGTCCCTGCCCTCAAGGAACTTAAAATCTAAGGTCCCTAAACTCACATTCATACATACACATACTAGGGCCAATTTAGACAGGAGCCAATTAACCTACCAGTATGTCTTTGGAGTATGAGAGGAAACCGGACCCGTAAGAAACCCACACAGGCACAGGGAGAACATGCAAACTCCGGGCAGGTAGTGCCGTGGTTGGGGTCCGAATCGACGACTCTAGAGCTGCCAGTTGGAAGGGCTAACCACTGGAAAATTACATTTCTGGAGGCGTTCTGTACACCAGCTGAGTACAGATTGCCTCCAGGAGCCATATTACATTGACGTTATAGAAAATGACAGCAGCTGCAGTTTGGAAAAGAAAAGGTAATTTTTTAATAACATTAAATTACAATATGGCTTGTATAGCAGTTGTATATGCTATATAACTTTTTCCATTCAACTCCCTATTTTTTTTCCCTCAAAAGTGGAGTTACCGTTTAAAGTATTAAGAATATCAAGCATATAAATATTACTTAAGGTACAGATGTTTTTATTATGTCTAATTACAATATTGTTTACACCAGACAAAAAAAAAAAAAGACAGCTTTTGTAGCTTCTGCCATAAGAAAGACACAACGTAAAAGATACAAAGCTTTATACAGATCAGAGCAATCAGAGCAGCTAAAGTGCACCTGATGTGCATGCGCGATAGCAGCCATTTTGTGGGTCAGATACATGTGCCAGAGGCTGCAGCCTATTATTGTGCTAGGACCTTGTGACATGAACTTTGTATAGCTGCCATAAAGTCACTAGCTCCTAGTGGACCACTAGCCAAAGTATATCTACAAACAAAATGGCTTCACGCTGACAGGTACTCTTTATTAGACCAAAATACTGTACATTGAAGATGTTTCTAAAAGTATATTTAAAATGCTCTTGGGGGGGCATTTAAAACATTTTCCCTTTCATAAATAATTTTTCAGTGAGGGCTATGTTACATGAGCATTTCCAATTAGCCATATAAACTGGGTAAGAAATCAATGCCTGACTTGCTGTCAGCTGGCCACAAATTTCTTTTTCCATTTTTGTCATACTCCACATCCATATCAGTATCTGCTACTCAGTCCTGCAAGTAATTCTAACTAAAAGTGTCTTCATGGAATCTCCTGTGTCAGCTAGGTGGTAAAATGAAGTTTAAATATGATGGTTTGAGGGGTCGTGACATCGGCAACTGCAAGTTCCTGTCCGTCAACAAGGCCGAGCTCTACAGGGAGGAAGAAGAAATAAAATATCAGGATAAGGTTATATTTTTAATGGGAATATGGACATAAATTATCATCTACACAGCTAATGTCATGCAAGGGGCATATTTATCAAGTAAAGAAGCTGACTTTCAAAACACATCCCCTGCAGTTAAATATTCCAGGTCCACGTAATAGTAAAAACAAAGTGCACAGAAAATCACTTTAATTAAAAAAAAAAAAAAAAAAAAAAAAAAAGGATAAAATATCACTTACAATGAAGTAACCTGATGTTACAGGGCTACATCCATTCTTTAGAGTCACTCTACAGAACAGACATGGTCCTGAAACATGTCAGAATAGTGAAGGTTATTTTACAATTAAATGTACAATCTCGGCATCCCTTTCTGCGCAGCTCATATAGTTTTTTTCATTTTGGTTTTCCCAGTGTGAACCTCAAGAGTAACCATCATGTCTTGCATCCTCTCCTACTTCCTCCAAATTAGTGAGAGTGCAGCCTCATCTGTTGAAGTGATCTGTCTTTCCCTGATTTGTCTTGTTGGCATGTCCTGACCAAGTCACTTCATTGCATTCACAAGTATATTTTGCCTTTGCCACACATAGCTTGCAAGCATATTCAGAGCTGCCTTGGTACCAGTGAAGCACAGTAAATTTGAAGATTTTATTCTGGGTCCATGTGTTTTAAATGGCAGGGAATGATTCTTCACCAGAAAAGGTTTGGTGAAAGTCACATTCACTGTGTTATAAACAGATCCACTAAAGTTTTGTCCACATATAGATGACGTTTAAAGGAAACTATACATAAAGTGTACTTTTCACGCAGTTTTCAAACGTCAAACTCTTTGCAGGTTAACTCCATTGGGGCAGGCAAACTTCTGAAGGGTTTGTTCATTCCGTTCTGATATTTCATTTTTTTTTTTTATAGATATTGGAGGATTAACACCCTCTCCTTTGTCTCTCAAGGACTTTACTGGCAGGATCCCAGCAATGTTACCACACCTCTTGTGTCCATTTGTCAGTGGCTTCCACTCCCCCTTCCGGATTTTTTATTTTATTTATATTAGGAAATCAACATCCTTCCAATAAATAGCATAGCAAGACATACAAATACCAGTTGCAAAAGGAGGACTCCCAGTACAGATGCAGGTGGAGGAACTTGAGGGTGGAACTTGACATTAGAAAGGGTTTGATGCCCTGAAACGACATCCACTTGTACTAGGTGTCCTTGTGTTACTGGTATTTGTATGTCTTGGTATTTGCTCTATGTGGACCCAATGTGTATTGCTATACGTTACCTGAGATTTTGTAAATGTAAATTACTGAATTGCTAATCTTGTGTGCTAGCTTTATCATTCCTAATTTATAGAGAACTAAGGGCCCTTTCACACGGGCACATTCTGTTCTCATCAGCAGGGGATCTGTCCGCCAACCCCCTGCTGATTGGAGCAGAGCAGAATGGATGACAGATCCATGTCCGCTCAGCCGACACAGCCCAAGCCTGCTCCACTCTATGGGCGGCCGAGTGTAAACAGACTCCGCTGTCTATTAAAACCCCCCTGCCTCTGATCCAGTCAGCCCAAATGAAGAGGACAAAGTCCTCCACTTTTTTGTGGACCTGATCAGACCCAGAGGTAGGCAGGTGTAAAAACGGACACAAGTCTGTTTACACCTGCTGATCCACAGCAATGTATGGCGCTTCAAATCAGGTCCGCCTGAAAAACGGATAGCCCCCTTCTTCTTACATCTTTGGAGAGGCTAATAAGAGTGGGATCTGTCTCTCTTTTTCCTCCCCCTCTGGTTAGTGGGCAGAGGTTTAGATTTCCAACGGTGGTCTGTGTGTTCGTTCGGTGGGCACAATATGTCAGTCCATTTGCTGTGGGAAGCTTGACACACACATACAGTTTAAGGGTGAGAAAGTGAATTGGCCTGTGTCCTTTTTTAAACTTGATGCTCTTTTGCTGTTGCTGTGTGGGCATAATTATATTGTTTTTTTAATTTGACCAGTTGCAGGGATTATATGGGGTTTCCCCCTCCTATGGCTATTGATGTCCATCCTGGTTGAGAATAATGGTGCAAAAGCTTATTACTACTTCTTTGAACTACGCAGTATATGAATTCATATTTCAATTATACAGTTTTTTTCTGTGCATCCCTGGTAAGATAGTTCTCCACAATTACCTATGTAATACTTGTTTTGTATATACAGTATGTGATGATTGCTGCTTTATTCACCAGTGTTGTTTCATTTTTAGTAGCATTTTATGCAGTATTTATAATTCTCCTGAGGAAGCCATAATGCTGGTGAAACATGTAGAGCTGAATTTTACTGCACAGATCTTCAAGCTGCATAGATATTCTGTAATGATTTCATGCTCAATATTGTCAAGTGCTGTTTTAACTGCTGTGTACTGTATTAAAAATATCCATATTTTAATTATATAATCTCTTTTGCGTTGGAGGGATGTTTGTTGACACCTTTAAAATCCCTTCTTTTTTATTTCAAATATGTTTAATGTTTTGAATGGAGTGGCTCCCTTACAGCTATGAAAACTGACCACACCTCTCAACATTTCATAATCCAAAATCAATTTATTTAATCTCTGACCTGATTAGAATCAGCATAAATTCACCAACTGCCCTAAAATGGTGAACCCATGACAGTCTAGTTCCAGATGCCATTGCAGCCATTCACAGAGTTGTTAATACACTGAATTAAGCTAGTGATGGCCATAAGGTATGCTTTAGGTCAAATGATCAGGAACGTTGTAATAGGTTTTCCTGCTCCTACTCACCATCTCTATTGTACAAACTGAATCTAAACAGAGTTTGGGTCTGCTTTAATATACTAAGCTTCAGTTACAGATGTGGGTTCCTGATGTCTGATATTTTTCTCGTGAACAGCATGACTATGCCAGAACACAGAAAAGGGAAAAAAAAGTTATATATTCTTAAGACAGCATTGTCATGGAAACGTAAACATGAATGGTCAATTAACTGTAACACAGTGAGATTCATGTAATGATAGTGGGCAGATAGCTATGACAGTGTTCAAAATTAACAGAGCTGTACTAGCCAATCACATCAGGCAGTTTGAATAATGAAAAACGATGGCTGATTGGCTGCCACTGATGCTGCGCATAACTTTTTGTTGTATTAGATAAATCGGATTGTGCTTCTGTGGATGTAAAATGAGCACAACAATCTGCCATGTTTCTCCTACGAGAAACTAAACTACAACGTTATAAGTAAACTGCTGGTATACAATTATGGAGCACTGAGGTCTGAATCAGACAATATTTAACATGCCCCCAAACCTAGCTAAACATTTATTGCCAATAACAAGATTACCGTGTAAAGTCTTGCAAAGATTGGGCCTTGTCCTTTCTTCTATAGATGCAACAGTCTGGAGAGAAAAAGAAAATAAATTTAAAGGATAATGCCACCCACAATCACTACACAAGTCATTTTGTAATCCAGCCTCACTCAACCAGGGTTCCTTCGGGGATCACTAAGGGGTTCCATGAGTAACAAGCAGATTCTGCCGCTCTGATAAGTAACCACTGACACCAACAATCATTTTGCCTATCTGTGGGGGGACATTTATTCCAATGACAAACAACCTAAGGTGGACCGTCATCACAGATTACATATACACCTGCAAAAGAAGGCCTTTCTTCAATGTCCAATATAGGAGAGATTTCACTGACCAACAGTGAGAGGGGGCCAGTCACTTACCACCAATGTAGAGAGGAACTTTTTTCACTGGACTGTCAATTTGAGCAAACTTTAGACTTTTCATTGTCTGTATTTATTTTCTGGGTATTATTATTGATAATTAGTTTTAATTTACGATTAAAAAGAATACAGGAGGGTTATAACCCCTGTCAGATTTTCTTTTGCCATCTATGCCCCATTGCAGAGATTTGCCTTCACTTCCTGTCTCATAGCTAAACAGAAAGTGACAGGAAATCCCTACAAATTAAGGGAATTCCTTGGGGAGCCCCAGGACACCAGAGCTAGTGTCCCCATTGGAAGATTTTCCCTCTATTACATTTCTGGGAACAACACAAAATTTAGGATATTCTTTTACTTTCAATGATAAAGGTAAACAGGACAAATAGAGAGGGTGAATCTCCCTAAAGGTGGCATAGACTGCAATAAAAATTGACAGATGTTCTTATCCCTCCCCACTCTATCAAAAACTATAAGAAAAAATTGCCTTTAGTTATACTTTAATAAAAATAATTTTGTGGTATAGAGCAGACCTGGGTGTCAAATATGCTGAGTACATCACATTCCATTTTATTCATATATCCATAAGGCCAAGATCAGTGGAGGGCTGCAGTGATGGTGGTCCTTCTTGAACTTTGTTCCATCTCCACACAGGATCTCTGGAGCTCAGTCAGAGTGACCATCGAGTTCTTGGTCCCCTCGCTTACCAAGGCCCTCCTCCCCTGATTGCTCAGTTTGGCTGAGCGACCAGCTCTTGGAAGAGTCCTGGCTGTGCTAAACTTCTTCTATTTGAGATATATGAAGGCCGCCGTCCTCTTGGGAACCTTCAGTGCAGCAGAATATTTTTTTAGACTTCCTCAGATCTATGTCTTGCAAAAATCCTGTCTCTGAGCTCTGTGGGCAGTTCCTTTGACCTCATGGCTTTTGTTCTGATACAGTATGCACAGTCAGCTGTGAGGCATTTTATAGCGAGGTGTGTGCCTTTCCATATCATGTCCAATCAATTTAATTTACCACAGGTGGACTCCAATCAATCAAGGTGTAGATACATTTCAGCAATGATCAAGAGAAATGGGAGGCATCGGAGCTAAATTTCAAGTATTTTTTACTAAGGGTCTTAATACTTATACCAATGTGATATTTCAGTATTTCCTTTTTCAAAAATTTGCAACATAACAAAACTGAAAAAAAGTGAAGGGGGTCTGAACACTTTATGAATGCATTGTACGCATGAGGCAATCCAATTGCAATAAAATAAAGTACAAAAACATTCATTGCATGCGAAGTTGTGTTTATGTGAATATTTCTGGGGAGGGGGTCCATATCTTTCATCAGATTCTTAAAAGGGTCCATGACTCAAAAAGGTTAAGGACCGCTGATCTAGAGGATATTGGGATTTTTAAAAAAAAAAGCAAAGCCCCTCTTTTAGCAATCAATACATAATTTCACAAATTATACCAGTTAAAAATCACTGTCTAGGGCAGCAATGGGCAAACTACGGCCCACGGGCCGTATACGGCCCGGCGGACCTTTTAATCCGGCCCGAGGAGCGTGATGCTGTCAGGATGTGTGTAGGCGGGGCAGCGTGACGAACGTGAGGGGAGCTAGGCTCCTCTCACAGTCCGCCCTGAAGACCGGAACGGCGCGGGAACACGGCGAGAGGAACGCGCGGAGCAAAGGTAAGTGAATTACTATGGGGGATGAATTACTATGGGGGATGAATTACTATATGGGGGATGAATTACTATATGGGGGATGAAATTTACTATATGGGGGATGAATTACTATATGGGGGGGAATTACTATGGGGGATGAATTACTATGGGGGATTACTATGAATTACTATGGGGGATGAATTACTATATGGGGGATTAATTACTATGGGGGATGAATTACTATGCTTACTATGGGGATTAAATATTACTATACTTACTATGGATGACACATACACATCATTCATCTACTCTTGGTCTGGCCCCCGGGTCCAATATACGAACTCATTGCGGCCCTCAAGTCAAAAAGTTTGCCCACCCCTGGTCTAGGGCTATAGAGAATCTACATGGATCCAGATGTATGCAGCCTGAGACGACATGTAGCAAAAGATCTCCTGCTAAAATCTTCTTACCTGTAAATAAAGTGTCTTATTCTTCCCATCCAGTGTTGCTGTGATAGCAGGAGATCTCATTTGTCTGCACAAAAACATTCATGAAAGATTTATCAGAGATCAAAACCTAAAAGTAAGTGGCAGACTTATAGCAAAATATAACATGGCATATGTGCAGGGGTGGAAGAAGGGGAAGTGGTGTCAAGGAGGTGATGACTTTAGCTTTATAGCCTTGGTCAACCAAGCACAACATGGAACCTGGAGTTATGTTAAAGCTGAACTCCAGCATAAGCAAATATTATGTAAATGCAACAGGCATGTGTATTTTTCATTTAACCTTGTTGTGCTTTGTGTATTTCTTCCAGATCTATGCATTAATCCAGTGTGAAACTTTGCTTCTGTGGAGGAGCTTCCTGCAATAAAGACCAGTTACTGCAGCTCTCTTGCTGTGCAGGGTGACTAGTCTTCTATCAGCCCACTCCCTCTGCATTCGATCTGCCGCTGCAGTGCTGATCAGTGTGTTCTGACGGGGAATGTGGGTCCCTCATCAGAATACAATAGCACAGCAGGGGGTGATCCCTGCATTCACACTGTTTGTGTTGATGCAGGAATCAGAGTTTTTTGTATACTTTCAGCCCACCGTTTGAATAAAAAAATTACTCATAGTGTGTACCAGCTTAGATGTAGCACAGTGCTAAAGTCACTGTTACTTTTATGGGGTAATAATTCCAGATCTATGCATTATTTCAGTGTGAAACTTTGGGGAGATTTACTAAAACTGGAGCACTCAAGAGTCTGATGCGGCTGTGCATGGTAGCCAATCAGCTTCCAACTTCAGCTTGTTCAATAAGGCTTTGAAAATAAAACCTGGAATCTGACTAGTTTCTACATAGAGCTGCACCATACTTTGCAAGCTCCAATTTTTGGAAAATCTCCCCCTTTGCTTCTGTGGAGGAGCTTCCTGCAATAAAGACCAGTCACTGCTGCTCTCTTGTTGTGCAGGGGAACTAATTTTGTATCCGTCCCCTCCTTCAGTTTTCTGAGGTTGGAACCTGCTGGATTTCTCCCCACAGCTCTCTGCACAGGCTACAGCTGGGTACACATGGATCGAAATTTGTCCGGTTCAGCAGAAACAAGGCAGATTTTGATCTGTGTGAAGCCAACTCTGTTCAGCAGAAGCCAATCGTTTGACGGACTTCTGTCGAACAAGACCACTTCAACGATTCAACCTTATGTTCCTTTAAATGGGCTACTCACAATGAGGTATCATTCGTTAAATAATCCAGAACTTCTTGCAACTTAGCAGAGGATGGAAACTCAATGTTCTGAGGAAGCAGACTACACGCCGGGCAATTATCCTGTTCCAAAACACAGAAAACTAGTTTAAACAATAAGAAAAATGTGTTGACATAGTACACTTTTTTTTTTTTCTTGGGACAGAGACTCAAAAGTTCGCAAAGCATGAATGTAGGCTTATGCTGATAACACTATTAAAGAGAGATTTTCAGTTCAACAAATAAAAATAAAGCGTTACACTCTGGTCACACTGATCCAGACTTTGAAATTGTGCGACTTACGACATTCTGATGTTGATTTCAGGTGCAATTTGCACGACATCTGACACAGATGTCTGTGCAAATCACACCATAAGTAGTGCATGCACTACTTTAGAAATCGTGTGCGGCTCCGACCAAGTCCGAACCGCACTGATATGACCGCTGTAATTACAGACGATAGGCTACAACTTGTCATGCGATTTGCAAGTCGTATGGCATGCAAATCGAATGCCAAGTTGCACCCAGTGTGACCGGGGTCTTAAAGCAGTAGTAAACCGCAAAAAATAGAGAACAAAAAACAAATCTTCTCACTGCATACTAGCACATTATGAAAGATTTACTTGAAAAGGAAGCGCTCCAGTGCACCGCTGTCTCGGCTCCCTGGGGCTTCCATCTTCACTTGGTTTTCCTTCCGGGTTTGCGGGATGCAGCTGTTTGACTGGCCGTGCTGTAATAATATCACTCCGGCACACATTAGCGCTTCGGCCATGGCACAGCATGTCATCCCTTGAGCACGCAGTGCGCATGCGCCAGTGATATCACCAGAGCTGCTAAAGTAAATATCTCCTAAACGGTGCACGTTTAGGAGATATTTACTGTACCTATATGCAAGCCTTATTACAAGCTAGCCTGTAGGTAACTAATAACAAACAAAGACTTTACTACCACTTTAATGTTTGTGTAGATCCAGCAAATACACCAGCACTTAAGCTTTGCAGTGCTATGGTCCCATGTTAATTTTAGGGTGGTGCCACAATAGCTTCTTGAAACCAAGTGTAGCACGTGTGAGAAAACATAGGCATCAAAAGCATCAGACATACCCGGAAGTGTTTGATGCTCAAGATTATGATGGGAAGCCATTACTCTGCAAGGGAGTGAAGGTCTGAGGCACGGGTGGAGGGACATGTTACGTATTAATGTTGTTTTTTTGTGGGGGTTTTTTTTTTTTTTAAATCAGTAATAGGGCCACTATTTTTTTTTACCACTTGTCTACAGGGCACTTATATCACCTTCCTGCCCAGGCCAAATTTTCAGCAATTCAGTGCTGTCGCAGTTTGAATTACAATTGTGCGGTCATGCAACACTGTACCCACATGAAATTTTTATCGTTTTCTTGAGACAGATAGAGCTTTCTTTTGGTGGTATTTAATCACCTCTGGGTTTTTTATTTTTTGCTAAACAAACCAAAAACTGAAACTTTTGCAAAAAAAAAAAAAAATTTTTTCTTAGTTTCTGTTATAAAATGTTGTAAATAAGCGCTTTTTCGCCTTCACTGATGTGCGCTAATGAGGCTGCAGTGATGGGCACTGATAGGCGGCACTGATGAGGGGGCACTGGTAGGTGGTACTGATGGGCATTGACAGGCATCACTGATGGGCACTGAAAGGCAGCACTCATATGGCACAGATAGGCGGCACTAATAGGTGGCACTGACTGGCGGCGCTGATAGGTGGCACTGAAAGGCAGCTCAGATGGGCACTGATATGTGGCATTGATGTGCACTGGTAGGCACTGATATATGGCATTGATGTGGCACTGATGAGCACTGGCAGGTGGCATTGATGGGCAGACAGGTGGCATTGATGGACACTGCCAGTTGGCACTAATGGGGGCTACACTTATCAGCGCACATGGATTATCAGTGCCCTGATGATCAGTGTACACGTCCCCTATGAGGAATGCCGATTAATAGCTCTCCTCTCCTCACAAATTGTCAGCGTGACAGTTTGTGAGGAGAGAAATGCCGATAACCGGCATTTCCTTATTTACATGCGATCAGCTGTGCTTGGTAACAGCTGATCACATGACAGAGCCGACGTGTTCGGCTCTTTCCGTTGATCGGTGATCCCATGGACACAGCGCACCACCGATCGCCGCGCACCCCCGGGGACATGCACACACGGTTAGAGTAGGAGGACATTATAGGACGTCCTCCCAGAACGAGAAAACTGCCTTGTGCCCATCATTTCCTTATATGGTGGGCGGGAGGCGGTTAAAAGGCGTTCACCCCACTACAAATAAATTCAATCCCAATCAGTGGAAAACATATCACAAATGAACCAAAGTGCTAATATCCTTGAATAATAATCAGAATCACCTAAGTATTATCCATTGAAAAAATCTACATAATTCATAAATTAAATAGTGTCCATAAAAAAACAAAAAAAAAAACAAACCAAACAGTCCATCCACTGATTTCTCATCCGCTTGTGTGCCCAACATATATGTGAATTCCACTTGCTGCTTATTCACCACCATATGCATTAAAAATGAAATGCTTACCAGATAATAATTTGCGCATGTCTCAAAGTCAGGGAGGAAGCAGACACCACCAGGATCTTCTTTTTGAATAAACCAGTATGACAATACACACACTCAAGAAACAAAGATGCTTCCCAAAGTGCAGCAAATTTTATTAAATATACAGAAGTTAAAGGATAAAAATACACTCACATTTAAAAGTGCTGCTCCCGGAATATTCAGGGACACAAATTATTATAGATCTGGTAAGCATTTAATTTTAATGCATGTGGTGGTGAATCAGCAGCAAGTGGAATTCCCGCAGGTGTTGGGCACACAAGCAGATGAGAAATCAGTGGATGGACTGATTTATTTATGAACATTCTTTAATTTATGAATGTTGATTAGATATTTTTTTTACATGCATCTGTTGCTATTCACTGGCAGCGTATAGTAGGGCTTTTTGAATCAGAATATTTAAAGTTTTTAATCAATGCAAGTTTATGCCATCCTGTTAAAATGTTTGCAAAAAACATTACAGTTGTGTCTATACAAACCTTTCTTTCAGCTTCAAACGTATACGTGTACAATCCATCCACATCATTAAATACTAGGTAGTTGTTTAAGGGCATATAAGCGCTGCAAGAAATCATAATGAAAAGAGTCAACACGTGATATGCCACGGAACTACTATGATTAAAACAGTGACTAAAAAACTTGATTACCTTGATGCTATTTTAAATACTTCAGTGGCGCAGGCCGCTAAAAGTACAAAGGGACCATTGTCAAATCAAAGGCACTTAGATACATTAAAGAAGAAAGCAAGTCAACTGAGAAGAGAAGCTACCATAGTAATAGAAAAATGAAGAAGGTGCAAAACAGATTCTTATCATTTCAAATCCCTACAATTAGCAAACACACAAGGCCATTACGTCTTAAAACCTATTACCCCACCAGTATACATTTGGGTTGTGGAAGGAAATCAGAAAATCCATACAATCTTACAAACAGGTCAGAGTTTTACCTGCAATTACTGCATTTGTAGACGCTACAGCTGGAATAATTCTTTTCACAACACCTATGAGTCAGAAAATAATAATAATGTCAAATATGCATAAGCTGAAGAGCTCCATTTGATCTCATATAAGCTGCAAAAAGAATACATTAAAGTTCAAACTACTGCAACGTAAAATTACACATATTACTGCAGATCAGAATACTCCAGAGGTCGCATTTAAGATATCTGACGTTTAACTGCAGTCAAAATCTTTATATTAGTTTTGGATATGTTTCCTCTCATTTCTAGTTCTAGTGACACAACAACAATAAACATAGTGTGGGGAAGATTAGAACCTATAACATTTTTATTGCTGTGCATGTCCTTGTCGAAGACCTCTCTTTTATTCCATCTTCAGGGGCAATATTGAGGGAAAAAACGTAGGGGAAATCTCCCCTATTGGGACTCAGGGGAAACCTCCCCTATTGGGACTCAGCAATGAAAACCTGACCAGGGTTCAAATCCTTCCCGAAGCAATTAAAATAAAAAAAAGTTGACTGGATTTATAATTTAAATTTGAAAAAGTTCAAAGCAAAATCTTCTAGCTATAGGATTCTTCCATTTACCTTGAGTGAGTCTGTATGTCACTCCTCGGATGTTGAACTGTGAAGCACGCTCAAGAGATTTCTTAAATATCCACTGGATATGCTCAGGGTCATCTCCGTCCAGCTGAACACCCTCTAAAGAACAAAACAAGAAGTTTTTATACAAAGACATACAACCTTGTGCACAGCACAGAAGCCAGTTTTTCCCATATTAGACCTGATATCCAGGGTAAACAAATGTTGTCTAAATACAAGACGCTTGCTTGAATCCTGACTCCTTGTGACGCAACCTTTACATTTTACCAAGGTGCATGAGTCTCCTGTAACAAAAACTGGTCACTACTGTCCTCTTTCTTTCCAAAGGATACCCCCAGCCCCCATATACTCCCCTTACCTGTGCTCCATCATTGCTCCTCCACAACTGGCAAGGATACCCAGCACTTCCATGTATGGGGAAATACCTGCTCTGCTGTGACAGTCTCGGTCTAGCAGCCAATTGCTAGGCCTGAGCACTGTTACATTACTAGGGTAGTCACGCCAATGCGAAGGCAGCCGATTTCGGCACTGGTTGAGGAGGAGCAAGGAGCTGTGAAGGAGCACAGGCAAGGTGTGCACATGGAGGACAGGGATGCAACAGTATTTTTGTAAAGCTACTGTCACCTGTATCCCATTGGAGAAACATTTCCTTTAGTTCCTGTCCCGTAGGCACAAGAGAAAATCTCTCCAGACTGAGGGAAATATCTTTTTTGAACAGCTGCCATTGCAACAAGTGTCCCTACTGGAAGATTCCCCTCTATTTTCTTTTCAGTGACAACTCAAAATTTTGGCTTTTCCTCATTGTCAGCTTGTCCCCGGTGGGGACCCAAACAGCATTAAGAACCTGACAGGGTTGCTAACCCTTCCAACTCTATGTAAAATTAAAAAAATAATGAGCCACAGATAGACGAGTTTAGTGAATCTGAAAAATAATTGCTTGGCAGATCATAAAACGAATTGCTAACTACATATCAAACAAATTTCCATTATACCTCCAAACGGTTGCTCTTTTGGCCATTGTAAAATCCGGACATACTCTATACAGTGCTCTGGTAACCTGGGCATAGATGCAATCGTACACATGGGGAAGTTAATCTGGAGGAGAGAACAATACAAATACATTACAGTAACAGGTCAAATTTTGGAAAAGAGACAAATTAAAATGTTTTGATGGAATGACACTCAAATGTAACTTCACCTTACTTGGGAAAAAAATAAATAACAAAGGTGCTTCACATTTTTTTATACATTATGCATACTTCAGGCTGAACTCTAGGAAAGTGGCTAAATTCAGAGCAGAAATACATACACAGAATTGTTTTTACCATCAGCACATAGGCAATGCAGCAGAGCCAGACTGGCTGCTAATGCTAGGCCTCCCTCTCCCGGACTGAGTATAGGAGAGTACAAGAGATCAAGACAAGCTCCAGTGCTTGAATTTCCTGAGTGTAATGATTAAGGGTACTTTTACACTGTCTTGTTGTATGAACATCAGATATTCCTAGCAGAAAAAAAAAAAAGCGAGGAGGAGCTGTATAGCACATGTGCCTAAACGTACACATGTCTAAAAATGTGTCTACCTTATTTAATCAAGTGTGTGTGTGTGAAGTGTGCTGTACATGCATACCCGCACATAAAACAGTGATTGGCAACACAAATTTTTGAGGGTTGTTTTCTGATCTATACACAGCACAAGTCTATGCACTTGTGTGTACAAGCACATTAAAAACAATGGGCTGCATTTAAGTCAGTTTAAAAAATTGCCAGAAAGCATAGAAAACGTAGACATCCTGTGTGCAAGAGGCCTTATACTAAATACCAGACTAGTGTTTTCCTTTTATTTGTTTTTATCTCCGGCTTAAAATAGACCATGCACTAGAAAGCAAGATCTGCTTTTTACACCAGACCTCCCTCCTGTATTATAAATTGCCTTATGATGAATGCACAAAACACTCCTGTTGGGATGGGGGCGGGGGGGGGGGGGGAGATATACACTTATCGTACCCCATCGTCTGCCCATAGTGATGTCACAGTCCATCTGGCAAGGGTTCATCTATGGCTGGCTGAGGAAGCCAACAGCATGTCTAGCATCGAATGGAATGCCCTGAAGAGTCATCATGTGGGTAGAGACAGGAGGAGCAGGATAGGTGTGTGGACTGCAAGTAGGGATGTGGACTGCAAGTTGGAACCAACAACATTACCTTGTCTGATTCCAGCGGCAATGAGTAGCTAGGAGCAGGAGCCAGTCTGTACCCCTGGCAAGCATCGAGTACAGGGTTTCCATTGTGAATGTGATATTTTATTTTTACTTTTTCCTATTAAAGGAGTAACTAGACAATGCTGTTGTGATCTGCAGTCTTTATGTTTTGTAGTTCACATAATAGCACTCTCTACTTCTTGTGCAAACGGCATAGCAAGAATGTGGGAAACTTCTTGATTATGGACTACATAACTATTTGATTGATTTTTGAAACTGTTGATCTGTTGTGAACTTGGAGACTGCTACACATTTTTTTTTACTACAGATGTTTTACGATAATGATAGCAATTGGAAGCTTTTAGTAAGAAGTATTGCAGTTTGTTACCAATTAGTTACATCCTCTGTGTTCAGTGCAGGTTAGATCAGCTGATCTTTTTCTGATGTTACTATGATACTGTTCAGTAAGCATTGCAAATGTGCTAAAGTTATACATTCTCGCAATTTATCTTAACAGAAGTTCTGGATACCCCCTACAAGATATACAATATATTGCCAAAAGTATTGGGACACCTACCTTTACACAAACATGAACTTTTATCGCATCCCAGTCTTAGTCTTTGGGTTCAATATTAAGTTGCAACCATTGCAACTATAACAGCATTCGTGAGGTCAGGCACTGATGTCAGATGAGAAGGCCTGGCTTGCAGTCTCCGCTCTAATTCATTCCAAAGATGTTCTATCAGGTTGAGGTCAGGACTCTGTGCAGGCCAGTCAAGTTTTTCCACCCCAAACTCGCTCATCCATGTCTTTATGGACCTTGCTTTGTGCACTGGTGTGCACAGTCATGTTGGAACAGGAAGGGGCCATCCCCAAACTGTTCCCACAAAGTTGGGAGCATGAAATTGTCCAAAATGTCTTGGTATGCTGATGACTTAACAGTTCCCTTCACTGGAACTAAGGGGCCAAGCCTAACTCCTGAAAAAAAAACCCCACACCATAATCCTCCCCCCCCCCCACCAAACTTTACACTTGGCACAATGCAGTCAGGCATGTACGGTTCTCCTGGCAACTGACAAACCCAGACACATTCATGGGATTGCCAGACAGAGAATTGATTAGTCCCTCCAGAGAGCACATCTCCACTGCTCTAGAGTCCAGTGGCGGCGTGCTTGACATAATCCGATGCTTTGGGTTGCACTTGGTGATGTAAGGCTTGGATGCAGCTGTTCGGCCACGGAAACCCATTCCATGAAGCTCTCAACGCACTGTTGCTGTGCCACATGACATTTGGAGGTCTTTAGTTATTGACTCTGCAGACAGTTGGCGACTTCTGCTCACTGTGCGCTTCAGCATGCGCTGACCCCGCTCTGTCATTTTACGTGGCCTACCACTTGGTGGACGAGTTGCTGTTGTTCCCAGTTGCTTCCACTTTGTTATACCACTAACAGTTGACCGTGGAATATTTAGTAGCAAGGAAATTTCACAAATTGACTCATTGCACAGGTGGCACCTATCACGGTACCACGCTTGAATTCGCTGAGCTCCTGACAGCGACCCATTCTTTCATAAATGTTCGTAGAAGCAGTCTGCATGCCTGGGTGCTTGATTTTATACACCTGTGGCCATGGAGGTGATTGGAACACCTGAATCCAACAATGTGGAGGAGTGTCCCAATACTTTTGGCAATATAGTGTATATACACACACAGCTCTATACATGACCAGTAAATGCGTACTTCCTAAAGCTCTGACTGCATAACTTCCTCTAACTCCTACATCACCAATCAACTTCAAAATCAGGTATGAATCTGGTTGGTGCTTGTTGAAAATGTTCTCAGTATTGATTCATCACTGACAATTAAATCCTCAGGTATGCATCCAGCAGTGAAGGACCCGAGGACTTACCAGATACATCTTATGTAGTGGATTTCTATAACAACTTGTCCAATTATACCAGTCTGCACCTCACACAGTGTATTTGTAAACTGGAGATGCAAAGTGGTGTAAGGCAGGAAAACAGCCAGTCACTGAAAATGTGCATGCTCACACAGAGCAACTTTAGCAAGACAGCTAAATAGACAGTTAAGGGACCGCTACAGGTACTCTTACCATCTAAAATAGTAAATACAACATAATGATTACCACACTTGTCATGGCCAAAAATTCTAAAGACCTCTGTGCCACTGCTCCACCTCCTGCCTCTTCTATGGAAAACAGATGTACCTCATTACACATTCAGGTGAACTAATCGTACTGAAAACAATTTACACACTAACCTGTGGTGGGTACAATTCAAGAGTACACTCTATGCATGCCGTCATTCCTGGTAAAATGACACGGGCATTTCCTTTAAAGCCTTCTGTACCTCCATCAATAAAAGGAATAACTGTGCTTTGCTGTACCTCTCCATCATCATAATTTAAGAGGGACATCTGAGAATAAAGAAAAAAATTATGTCTAGATATCTGTATAGTTATTTTATACTGTGTAGTACCTGCAGTTGATAGGTTTTAGGAAACAATTGGCCACTCCTCTACTGTAAAAAAAAAAAAAAAAAAAAAAAAAAGAAAAAAAAAACAGTCTATCCAAAACTGTTTTCAGACTCTGCTACCGTAGGAGATCTGAGCAGAGGCTTGAGTAGCATCTGTGGCGGGAGATATGGAGGGGGAGAGCGACTGCCAGCTCTCCCTCTCCACATACAGAGATTTCTCATGCTCAAAGCCTTCTACTCCCCTATAAATGTGAGTGCATAACACATTGGTTTTAATTCACTTTTTAATAAAAGACATGACTACACTATGAGGCTGTTGAAGCCTCTCTCTTTTCATTGTTCAGCATCCTGGTCACACAAGCCATAGTCTGCAGTGGCAGCATAGCTAACAGCTAGATACAGTCTCTTCTTGTGTAATACACAGCCTTACCTCTGGGATCCAGCTTTGCTTTTTGATTTGGTTTTATATTTGTTTATGTAATCAGGTACACTTTGTGCCTTGATATTACACAGTTATGCAGGCCATAGATGGGTCGAAAATCAGCCGATTTTTCTTTTAAAAAAAATGAAAAATCAGTCGTTCAAGCGGCCCACGTTACCAGCAATGGTAAAAAAAAAAAAAAAAAAAAAAAAAAAAAAAAAAAAAAATCGGCCGATTTTCATCCCGGGAAAAAGTGTCCCTGCAGAGAGCTCCGCTATTTCTTTGTTGCAACCGCTATAAATGTCAAGGAACTGTCAATGTATTTGTATCCATTTAGGATACAGATGTTTTTATTCGGAAACAAATAGATACATTGTTGCAACCGCTATAAATGTCAAGGAACTGTCAAAGAAATAGCGGAGCTCTCTGCAGGGACACTTTTTGCCGGACTGGAATTCATCCTCTTCTTCTTCATCCTCTTCTTCTTCATCCTCCTCCTCTCTTCTTCTTCATCCTCCTCCTCCTCCTCTTCTTCTCCTCCTCCTCCTCTTCTTCATCCTCCTCCTCCTCCTCTTCTTTCTCCTCCTCCTCCTCTTCTTCATCCTCTTCTTCATCCTCTTCTTCATCCTCTTCTTCATCCTCTTCTTCATCCTCTTCTTCTTTTTGTCTTCTTCTTCCAGGTCACTGCTCATGCGCAGATTTTTTTATCGGTAAAAAGATCGGCCGATTTGCCCATCATTGCTTCGAAAATCGGCCGATCGGCAAAATCGGACGATTTTTTTCCAACTTTACAGATAAAAAAAATCTGCCAAAATACCGAAAAACGGCCGCACAATTAGCCCACTAACAATCCGAAAATCGGCCGATTTTCGACCCATCTATGGCCTGCATTACTCCCTATTCCTGATAATTTTGTGAGCAACCTATGGTTACTTTATTATCCACCTGACAGATCACTATTTCCAATTGCTACTTTACTTTTGATTTGTTTATCCCGTCAAAAGGCCCTCTAGTGACCATGACATTGTTGCATGTCCATTGTGTGCCTTAGCATATTTTCCCAAACATGTTAAGACTTCTAAACATAAGAAGCATCAGCTGATGTGAACCATGTCTGACAAAAAAGGGTAGCTGATCTGCACAAGGCTAGAAAGGGATACAAAGCAAGCTCAATGTGTTTAGGCATCCTATAAGCAACAATTAAACAAACTGGCTATAAATGGACACAGTTTAGTACTGTGGCTACTCTGCCTTGAAGTGGGCACCCAGCCAAGATGACTTTTAAGGCACAACGCAAAATCCTTAATGAAATAAAGAACCCACCAGTAACAGCTAAAGACTTGAATACATCACTGGAACTGGCAAACATTCCTGTTCATGAGTCTACCATACGTACCTATTTGAACAGGCAGGGTGTGCATGGTAGAACACCATGGAGGAAGCTGCTGCACTAAACAAAAACATTGCTGCACACTTGAAGTTTGCCAAAGAGCACCTTGGCAAAATGTTTTATGGACAGATGAAACAAAAGTTGAAGAATACTTATTACTATGTATGATGCAAAAAGGGCATAGCTTAAGAACATCAAAATGTCATCCCAACTGTGAAGTATGCTGGAGGGAACATCACGATTTGGGCTTGCTTTGCTGCCTCAGGGCCTGGACCACTTATCATTGAGGGGAAAATAAATAGTAAGTTTACCAAAATATCCTACAGGATAGTGTTAGGGCGGTTGTCCACCAGATGAAGCTTAAAAGTTGGGTTATGCAGCAGGACAATGACCCTAAGCATTGAAGTAAATCCACTACAGATTGGCTTCAGAAAAAGAAAACGCACCTTTTAGGAGTAGCCCACTCAGAGCCCAGATAACCTCAGAGATGCTGTGAATGACCTCAAGAGTTGTTCACACCAGACGTGCTACAAATGTGTTTGAGCTGAAGCAACTTTATAAACAGGAATGGTCAAAATTTGCCCTGAACGTTGTACAGGTCTGATCCAGAGCAACCAAAAGTCATTGCTGTCAAAGCAACAGCACACAGCATCACCTGCCTGGAGTTTGCATGTTCTCCCTTTGCCTGCGTGGGTTTCCTCTGAGTACTCCGGTTTCCTCCCACACTCCAAAGACATGCTGGTATGTTAATTGGTTCCTGTGTAAAATGGCCCTAGTATGTATGAATGTGAGTTAGGGTCCTTAGATTGTACACCCCTTGAGGGTTAGGGACTGATGTGAATGTACAATATATATGTAAAGCGCTGCGTAAATTGACTGCGCTATATAATGTACCTGAAATAAATAATAAATTAATAATAAAGGTGTGACCAGCTAATAACTCCAACTGTATATATAAACATACACAACCCGTGTATATATGCAATTGTGGCCTTTTTTTATGTGGATTATTTTGATATTAACTTGCAACATATTTGTTCATGAATTCACATAGATTGGTGAAGATTTGGGATTGTATACAATTTTAAAAATATTTGATTTGGTGCACAAGGCTTATGATGGTTAGGAATTCAGATGATTTATGAACTGACTGAATGCATTCCATTTTGGTATAAGCACTTTTGGAAACTGTCTTGATGAAATTACCCCTACCTTCCTCCTTCACAACAGGTGATTACTACTTAGAACAGGTTCACTTTAAAAGCAATTACAAGTATAACATTACCAGCATTCCATTCAGCCACCGCCTGGCAATAATCGAATCCAGACCACATACTACGAGATGAAACTCTGGAGTGGGGAAAAAAAAAAAAAAAAAGAATATATTGAATTCCTGAATAACAAAGGATTATTATGTTAATATCTAACAAGAGACATGCATTACCTCGATAAAATGATTCATCCATATCTTGAATTTTTTTATAATAACTTTATATTGATAGTATCCAAGGTTAAGGAAAAAGTAAATAAAGTGAATTTATTTCTGCTCATTACCTTCCAAGTATGACTTTGTTCTCTACTGGGAATTCCCCCTTGTGCTCCCCCCCACCATGCGTTAGGCAGAGAAGCATTTCCTGCCTACACTAATGGAGAAGGGAACGCCCTCCATGTACTCAGAAACAGTCACCCTTCACACTGTCTGCCTCTCACATTTGCAGTAGGGTGTATTTTGCTGCCATCCATTACATTATTTACAGTTCTAAATCAACAAATTTAAGAAGGAAATGGACACCTCCTTGTACAAACTTCAGGTGTCAAATCTTAGTAGTCAAGCTCCCATCTGTGTAGTCAAGAGAAGAGTACAAAAGATTGTTGTTGGTGAGAAGTGTAGTTCATTGCAGGCTTGGAATAATATTTTATATCTTCCTGCTGGTCTTGACCAAAGCCATCAGCATTTTTGTTAGAAATAACCTGGCTCATGCACAAACTGTTATTTCCTGGTATTTACTTCCTTCTCTAGGTAGAAATACCAGATCCTCTATGAATTCCTTTGTGAATGTAGAGAATTTGGCACTGGAAGTCTAGAACACCATGGCACCCACTTGGTGTATAGTGGTAGTGGAAGGGTGAATTTGTGTATGGGAGTTTGGAAGGGTCGCTATACAAAAGGAGTGACATTAAGGCTGCATTCACACCTAGGCGTCTTGCATTGTGGGCAGAATCGCCGCAATTTCAAAACGCTCTACTACAATAGCAAAATGCACAGTGACAGCTTGCGACTTCAGAGCCGGGTGCCCATCGCGCACGCGTGAGAAGCGCTGCGTTTTGTGAATGGCCCCGGAGTCTTCTGGGACCTGTCACGTGTCCCAGAAGACTGCAGGAAGGGGGGGGGGGGGGGGGGGGGGGGGGGGGGGCAACTTCCACTTCCAATCTCCTAGGTGATCACAGCGGAAGTGGAAGCAGGTACCCATCAAATTCAGGTACCCCCCCACTCCCCAAAGGTGGCAATCCTTAATGGGGAGCTGGGGACAAAGGCTTAAAGTGGAACTTCCCCCTTTGGATGGCACTCCGCTTTAACATTATCTCCATTCCCCTGCCACTCCATTTCCGCCCATTACACCTGCAATATCATCTGCAATTGCAGGTATGGTTATCATGTTGAAAGCATTTGGCTAGTCAAGAGTATGCCGTCTTTTACAAGAACAAAGAGAAAGTTAATAAAAGTAATCTTAACGGTCTGTTTCTTCTGCTTATCTTAGTGATTAGAACTTGCAGGAATGTGATGGGCTGTGACTGATGTGAGTATATAATAAATATGTAAATTGACAGCACTATATAGGTACCTGTAATAAAAATAATAATAATAGTGTAAATATCGAGAAAGACAATTGCCTTCATACACACATCTGAATTTTTTTTAAACGATGCATAAACTTTGAGGAAGGATACGGCGTGACACAGCAGTCAGGTATTCTGCTATTTATAAATTCAGCTGCCACCTCTGCTTTGGGTCTTCCTACATCCTTTGGCCTGCAAAAACATACCAGAAAACTATTCAAGCACAACTGTATTGAAATAGCAAACAAACATGAAGACAGAGGGAAGGAGGACAGTGTAGATGGTTCTCCCAAAGAGAAAGGTTGTAATGTACAGATCTATCATGTATAATGCCAAATTCCAGGTGAATAGTGAAAAAATAAATGTATTAATATGTTTAAGAAAAAAAAAAAACAACACAGTGAGGGTGTCTGTTTATAACACCCTTCAAATATACCCTAAAAACAGTCTCAAAGTTAAAAAAAAAAAAAAAAAAAAAAAAAAAAAAGGGACAATGACTATATTCCCTTACTCTAGTAATAAAGCTATTTTTGCTTACCGGAAAAGAAATTGCCTGTTTAAGTTAGAGACATCTATGGTGTCCATATCTATAACATGGATCTGTCGGAATCCAGAGAGCGCCTGTTGACAATACAGGATAAAAGGTTACTAAAAAAGTCATGTATTTTATTTGCTTACTGTATTTTAAAGGCCCTCTAGTTCTGCAGCAGCTTTCACATAAGCAAAGGCAATGGAAGTAGATATTGATCTCTTGGTACACTAAAGGATTACGATCAATAGCTGCACATTTAGTACAATTTCCCTGGGGTCCTAAAGCAGATTTAGGCCCTGGTCACATCGGGTGTGAATTGGCATGCGAATTGCATGCCCTGCGATTTGCAAATCGCATGCCAAGTTGAACCCTATTGTCCGCTATCAGAGCGGTCATATCAGTGCGGTTCCGATTCCGCACAGATTTCAAAAGTAGTGCATGCACTACTTTTGTTGCGATTTGCAGAGACATCAGTAAGCGGTATTTTACCGCTTCCGAGTATCCGGTAGGATACCGCTTCCGAATATCCGGTAGGATACCGCTTCGCATTTAAAAAAAAAAAAAAAAAAAAGTTTGAATCCACCAAAAAAAAGCGCCACTAAAATACAGAGTTATTTTATCAAGTCATGCAGTATTTTAGCAGTGAAAATCATGTTTCAGCTGTCGGGTTCCCCACTGATAGCTGAATGTAAGAAAGAAGTGTGGGCAAATAAAATACGGCCCAAATTTAAAAAAAAAAAACAAAAAAACGGCATGGGGGTCCTCCCCAAAGTCCATGTCAGACCCTTATCCGAGCATGCAGCCCGGCAGGTCAGGAAAGGGGGGGGGGGGTGTGTCAAGCGAGCACCCCCCACCCCCCTCTCCTGAACTATACCAAGCCACATGCCCTCAACATGGGCCTCTTCCCCACAACCCCCTGGGCAGTGGTTGTGTTGGTCTGTAGGTGGCGTGCTTATTGGAATCTGAAAGCCCTCTTTTGCAAGGGGGCCCCCAGATCCCGGCCCCTCCCTATGTGAATGAGTATGGGGTACATGTTACTGCAACCCATTCACAATAACAAAAAAAAAAAAAAAAAAAAAACTAGTAGTGTGAAAAAAAAAGACAGGAGACCATCTTTGACAAGTCCTTTATTAAAAGAAGGAAAATAAAAGAATGTCCCATGAAGTAAATCCAACATCAATCACAATGCCCGCCACCGCCGGAGAAATTAAAAAAAAAAAAAAAAAAAAAAAAAAAAAAAAAAAGGCTCTACCCCCGACCGTCTGATTGCTGCACTGGTTTGACAGTTCTTAAACATGTAAGGGGCGGGGCCACCTGGTGACATCACCAGTGTGACCCTGCTCCCGTGTGACATCGACCAGGGCATGCTGAGTCAATTATGTCACATGGGGGCGGGATCACATATGTGATGGCCCCGCCCCTTACATATTTATTTAAGAACTGTCAAGCCAGCAGAGTCAGACGGCAAGGAGCCAGTGTCTCCAGCATTTTTTTCTTTTTTCGGTTGGCGGCGGCAGGCATCGTGATTGTCATTCCTTTATTTTCTTCTTTTAATAAAGGACTTGTCAAAGACTGTCTCCTGTGAATGGGTAGTGGTACCATGTACCCCATGCTCATTTACATAGGGGGGGGGAGGCGGGATCTGGGGGTTGTGGGGAAGAGGTCCTTGTCTCCATCAACATGCTTTACCCCAAAGCACCCCCCCACGTTGAGGGCATGTGGCCTGGTATGGTTCAGGAGGGGAAGGGGGGGGGGGCAAGGGGGCGCTCGTTCCCCTTCCCCCCCCCCCCCCCCCCTTTCCTGACCTGCCGGGCTGCATGCTGGATTGATATGGAACTGGGGGGGGGGGGGGGGGGATACCACGCCATTTTTTAATTATTTTTTTAATTGCCAGCAATTCTTTCTTTTACATTCAGCTGTCAGTGGGGAACCCTGCAGACAGCTGAAATATGGTTTTCACTACTACAATATCGCATGACTTGATAAAATAACTCATGCAGTATTTTAATAGCAATTTTTTGTGAATTCAAATGTTTTATGTTTTTTTAAATGCTATGCAATAACCTACCGCATGCTCGGATGCGGTTAGATACTGCTTAGTGAATTGTTCCCTGTGTCAGATGTCTTGCAAATCGCGGCTGAAATCAGCGATTCACCCGACTGAAATCGTGCAGCTTCACACGGGGGGGGGGATGATGTTTGCTTAGCCCTGGTTCACACCGCAGCGATTTCAGGTGCGATTTGGGAACTGAAATCGTACCTGAAATCGAATCTAATGAATGTGAATGTCTTAACATACACGATTTGCTGCAGCGAGATTTGAAAAGTAGCTCTTGTATTAGTTTTTCTGCAGTTTGTTGCAATTTCACATAGACTACAATAGAAATTGCACTGCAAAATGCAATGGAAAATGCAAGAAATTGTTGGAAATCAGAAAACACAGCAATTGTTTCTTCAGAAAACACAGCAAACAAAACACGCGATTTAAAAACGTATCCAGTGTGAACCAAGCCTTAGGCTTGGTTCACACTGGATGAGATTTATAATCGAGCATTTTGTTTGTGATTTCACCGCATTTTCTGAAGATTTACCAAAGATTTTTTGTGTTTTCAAAGAGGGACAATCTAGAGTTCAAACCACTGATTGAACCCTCAGGTCTGGGATATCTGTGACCCAGACGGGCAAACTGTAGTAGAGGTCTCCCCACTCTTAGGAGTGAGAGTGCCCTTTCAGTGGGAAGAGCTTTGAGGAAGACTTACTAGGCTTAGTGGCCCAAGTCTTGTGCCGAAAGAAAGAACTTAGGCGCTGAAGTCTGGGTAAAGCAGTTAGGTGCTTTGTGTTTTGAGGAAGTAGAGGCTCTTGTGGCTGGAGGATTCTGGGATCCTCCTCTGTATAATCTACCCTCATGTGACATCTTTTATGAATCAACCAAGTGTCTCTCCAAATAGACATTGTCCTTGAAAAGGCATCCATGGGAGGTGTTTTTTTTACAAGCAGCTTTGGCTGTGCATGTGAATGGAGATTAGCGCAGGTCTGGACCTGCCTCGTGTTCTAATGCAACCACACAAAAGGGCAGAGTGGAAAGTATTTTCTGTAATTGATCTGTTAAAGCATGATCCTGGAAAACAGCGTCATATTGGTTGTTCATTGTCCTAGTCCAGTTAGCTGCAGTGTGAGATACTGAAATTGAAGGGAGAGCAGGCTGCAGAGGTGGACCTGCAAGGGTAAAGAAAAGCCTTTTAAGAGCATCTCAAATCTTCTATCAGCATTATCTTTGGATGGAGGAACAGCTGTAGGTACAGCGAGATATTTGTTTAAGACTGAGACGACACGATCAACTACAAGAATAGACCACTTGTTTGTGAATTCTTTTTCCACTAAATCTGGATTCCCTGTTTGTGGCATTAGAAGGCACAGAGATGACTGAAGAATTTGAAGATAAAATAGATGACTGAAGAATTTGAAGATAAAATAATAAAGACAAATTAAAAAGTGGTTAAGCTAAGAGTAGAGGTCCATCACCTTAAAACACTAGCAAAAAAACTGAGGGCCTAGGGGTAGGATTTAGGGGATGTGCCCAGGGGGCATATTCTCAAAAGCTTTGTCAGTGTTCAAACACCTGAAATTTTGCAGTTGTAACTCAGGGTCTATGACTACTTTTCTTTTATGATTAAGTTAGTACAATACTCTTTAAAGAATGGTGATTTCAGAAAACATTTTTGGTTGTTTTGGATAGCGTGAGTGTAGCTTAAAGTGTATTTCCTATTTTTGCAGCCAAACTGGGATAACACCTACTTTATGTTTGTTCCCATTAATATAGCATAACTTTTAACTTGCCTAAAAATGCTACCTAGCTCCCCCCTTTGATGTAAATTAAGAAGGGAACTGAAGAAATATGTTAGAATATACCCTGTGCTGTGCTGGCAGATTTCACATCAACTGTAAACTAGATTTGACCACTGTCTGTCCTAACAAAGGGTTGAAGATTTTAAGGCTTGAGTGGTACATTGTATATTAATGCACTTTTAAATAAACCCTGACCCTCACTATGTACCTTATCATCACGCTGCCTTCTATTCTAAGCAAAAAAGCTCTTTATAAAGTTACTCCAAACAAACCACCAGATAGGTCAAGAAATATTCTTTAAAAATGTATTTTGAGGTATGCTGTGTGAAAAAGAACACATAACATATAGTAGGGGGGTTCTCAACCTTGATTGCAAAGGTGAATATACACTTTAAAATATAAACCTGACACAAACTCTTAGAGCCCAGTCACACTGAAAGCAACTTAGAAAGAAACTTGAAGTAATACAATTTCGAAGTTGCAGATCAGTGTGATTTTTATCTCCAATTTCACTGTGGCTTGCAACTTCATTTATGTAAGTTGCAATGAAATCGGAAAAAAAGCAGTGCAGGAACTACTTTTGAAATCGCGCTACTTCAAATCGCACTGATTAAGAAAGTGCCATAGAAATACATTAGATACAACTTCAGGTGCGATTTGCAAATTGAACCTGAAGTCGCACCCGTGTGAACCAGAGCTTAGCCTTCCTTCCTTGCTGATCCAAAACAAAATGAACAGTTTGAGCTCAGCTTTACAATTATAAACAATTTACTTGTTGAGTAAACAACAAAACACATTTCCAATACTCAAAAAAATAAATAAAATGTACAATTACCAGATTCTTGAGAAGTTCACACCCTAAACCCCCAGCTCCAACAACCAATATTTTACAGGTTTCTAAGAGAAACTGGAGAGACTGTAAAAGAAAAACAAATTAATACTTTCCACTGCATATTCCAAGATGACCAACCTGCAACCACGTTGTATATGGTAAAAAGTAAGGTTAAATTGCTAATCCAACTCTTACATAGCCCCAAAACTCCTAACAATGCAGTATTATGTGCACATCACACGTACAGTAAAGCAAAGAGCAGCATGCAAAGAGTCAAAATCACAGCAGCCAATCAAAGTTTTTCTTTTACAACTCTGAATACAGTAAATTGAAATCTAATTGACTGCTATGGGTTACTTTTGCACTCTTACTGAATAAACATGTTTATGTCATGGATGCTAAGGGCCTGTTCATGTTTCTGTAAATGTGTGCAGTTGCCATGTGCACAGTTTTCATTTTATAGCGCACTGTGAATTCTTTTTAGTACACATTCAAAATGCATAAATTATTGTTAAACCATTTCTTTAATTGAAGTGGAAAGCAGGCTGGTCTCAGACACCAGAAGTAACTCAAAGGAACATTTAGAAGGGTTTATGAACATGGATGTTTGGGCTGCCCAAGTGTGCATGTTTGTGTTATGCAGGTAACAAACAAATCCTCTGCCAGACGCCTAGAATGTCATATTCCAGGGAAAAAAAAACAAAACAATACATCCATTAGAATATAATGAAGTCACTTTCCCAGGTGTTCATACGCTGGGGGCACCTCCTGACATCTTACTATCTCCTGATTAGCTAATGAGAAAAAGCAGCTTTAGGATGGATGGCAAGGGTATAGCCAGTAGGGAAAAAAAGTAACATTCTTCATGTTCAATGTCCTATAGGCAGGGCACATCTGTTCACCAATCAATAGGCAAAATGGAGAAGTCTCTCTAATGCCTTGTTCACACCATGGTGCAGAGATGTGAGTTTTTTCTGCTCTGCAAGAGCACAAAAAACAATTGTTCTCTCTGTGTCCTTGTCACACCACAACATTAGTATAATGTGCGGATTTCTGCACAGGAATCAGCAATATGTATCAAACGCGCATGAAAACTGAAGTAAATTTGTGTCTCTGCAAGTGAAATCTGCAGTTTTCCCATCAGTTTTTATGCATGTATGGTGTGAACGAGGCCTAAAACACATCTGTGCTTTGTCTATGCAAAGTGACAGCGTCTCTTTAACCACAAACCTACAGGGCACTTATACCCCCTTCCAGCCCAGGCCAATTTCCAGCTTTCAGCGCTGTCGCACTTTGAGTGACAATTGCGTGGTCATGCAACAATGTATCCATATGAAATTTTTATCATTTTTTTTTGTGACAGATAGAGCTTTATTTTGGTGATATTTAATCACCTCTGGGTTTTTTTATTTTTTCTTGAACAAACCAAAAACCACTGAAAATGTTGAAAAAAAATTTTTTTTCTTAGTTTTTGTTATAAAATTTTGTAAATAAGTGATTTTTCTCCTTCACTGATGTGCGCTAATGAGGCTGCAGTGATGGGCACTGATAGGCTGCACTGATGGACACTGACAGGTGGCACTGATGGGCACTGTTTAAGAATCACTGGTAGGTGGCACTGATGGGCATTGACAGGCAGCACTGATACATGGCACTGATATATGGCACTGATAGGCAGCACTGACTGGCACTGATAGGCAGCACTGATAGGTGAAACTGAAAGGCAGCTTAGATGGGCACTGATATGTGGCATCGATTTGCACTGGTTGGCACGGATATGTGGCATTGATGTGGCACTTATGGGCACTGGCACGAGGCACTGATGAGCACTGACACAGGTCACTGATGGACACTGACAGGTGGCACTGCTGGGGCTATACTGATCATCAGTGTCCTGATGATCAGTGTACATGTCCCCTGCGTGGAAAGCCGATTACCGTCTCTCCTCTCCTGACGAGCTGTCAGCGTGACAGCTCGAGAGGAGAGAAATGCTGATAACCGGCCTTTCCCTGTTTACATGTGATCAGCTGTGATTGGACACAGCTAATCACATGACCGAGCCGACATCTTCGGCTCTTTCCGTGATTGGTGATCAGCTGTGTCCGAGGGACACAGCGCACTGCCGATCGCCGCACGCTCCCTGAGCTGCGCATGTGCGGTGAGAATGGGAGGACGTCATATGACGTCATCCCAGAACAAGAGAACCTTGCGTCCATCATATTACTATATGGAGGGCGGGAGATGGTTAAAGCAAACCTGTGTTTTGTCCATGCGAAACAAGGAACAGGCTTGCTTTAATAGTTCCCAGCAGCAAACACTCACCTGTTATTAGCTTCCACACTGTTCTGTTCAGCAACTAGGAGTGAAGCAAATAGACAGAACTTATGTGTACAGAGGAGCATGTGACAACACTAGTGCTTGGTGACTTGCCCAGCACTGTCACGTGAATGCTGAAAGACAGTCATCAGCCTTATGTAAGCTCTGACTAGAGTGACTTGGAGCTTACACAGAGTTTCCTTTCTCAACTGCTTGACAAAGAGGGGGGAATAGAAAGGTAAGTATAAACTGCTGGGATGGGATGGAATGGGGTAGAGTCTGGGGAATTAAAAGCTTTCTATTGCTTTGACCTGCATGTGTCACAGATTTGCTTTACAGTACAACTACTGCATGTATCAGCTTACAGCACTGTGCATGACAGCGGTGTAAATTAAATCCATTGTGTTCTATTCATTTTACCTGCTGTGATTGGGCATGCTTTACATCACAGAAAGTTGAACATAGGTGAACAGGCCCTTAGGAAACATTATGCGCACATTGTTCATGCATGTTTCAATCTCACAGACACAACTCAGCTCTGGCTACAAGCAAACTTTGGGCTTATAAACTCATTCAATTTCATTGTAAGATTTTAAATTTGTTCTATTACACAGAACAACATACTAACCACGAAAACACAAATATCATTGGATAACTGTTCATGTCACAAAGGAAGCAGAAAAGCCAGCAACACATAAAAACAGTGTAATAATGCAAATTAAAGAAAGTTATACACATTTGCCTTTTTTATTACAGCAACGAGCACTGTACAAAATGTGGCAAACCCTTTGTACTCTTTTACAAATCTGCCTTCAGTATCACTGAGGTCTAGCAGCGATCACCGCAAGGTAATCACTGGCTGTGCGAACAGCCACAGATGGCTACGGCCACCGCCAACCTGTTACTGAAGTGTACAGGGCTCAGCGGCTGCAGCAAGCCACTCACAGGTGGCTAATTCAGCTGCAGGAATCGGCAGATGCTAATCGCCCATGTGAATGCAGCCTTAGATGGTTTTGATCTAGGGGAACAAAAAGGTTTACTTACCCAATCCTCCCTGCAGCTAGACTGGACCTTGCAGCTTTTTCTCCCCCATGCACCAACAGTCTACATTCCCGATGTCATCAAGACCAAAGCAGAGTCCAAAGCCCTGAACTGGACGTAATGATGCCGAGGGATAGTCCACCACCAAGGCATGGGGGAGCACCATCTGCTGGAGGAGCGGAGGATCAGGTAAGTAAAATGGTTTCACCTCTGCTCTACACAAAACAAGCTATTAACCCTTGCAGTGCACGCCGGAGTTTGGCTTTATATCTACTCGTTTTCTCCACCGTCAGTCTTTTTTGCTTTCCTCAATGTTGGGGCATGATTGTTCTCTGCGTCATTTGTGGGTGTGGTTTTGTCTGTCCTACTTCTTTTGTGGGTCTTTGCTGGGATGCCCACCAAGGCCACTAAAATGAACATACTCACACATCCAGAGCCTGCCTAACTGTGTGGAAGGGATTTTATGAGTAATATCATAATTACAGAAACATTTTTCTGGCACCACCCACTAAAGTACTTTCTGTAAAGCAAAGATCAACAAGAGAGATCCAGTGATTACTTCACTGAGTCTACAAAACAGGTATAATTTACAAAACTTTTAATTAAGAAATTTTATATTGGGGGGGGCAGTTTATGCATATATTACACTTCAGCTTTAAATAGAGGTGACAATGGTAACTAGGACAAATAAGGAGGAAGAATCTCCATATGACAAAGCTTTAAAGGATTAGTTCACCTTTTAGTAAAAAATAAAAAATGCACATTTTTTTGCAGGTAAAAAATGTGCATTTATTAATTTTGCAGGAGCCTGTAAAGCATTGCATGCCGTGTTTCCTGCAGATCTGTCAGAATATCTCCTTGCTCGTATGGGATGTATGAGCAAGCAGATATACTGACAGTAAGAGTCAATGAACTAACACGGTGCTCCACAGCGCCATGGTAGTTCATTGAGGACTACAAGCTGAGAGCTGTTAAGGCTGCCAGGACCTGTAGTCTCATTCACAGAATGAGTGTGAATGAGTGACGTGGCGGGGTGGGCAGAGCCCCGCACGGCCACAGGTTTTTTTTTTTTCTTCAATTTTCAAAGTGGTGATCGGGGGGGAGCAGGGGCTGGTCAAATCGTAACATGTTACATCCTGAATATGGGTGTAACATGTTATGAAAGATGAACGTATCCTTTAAAACTTTCTCTGACAAGTTTTGGCTTTAAATAAAGTTTATCTACCTAGAGTTCAGCTTTATGTGCCTGAGATGCATAGACAGACATGAAAATTTACAATTTAAACTACCTGAAAAATATTATAATTTGGAACAGCTGGTGGAGCTTTTATATACAGCTTTGGGAAAACCAGCACAAAATTCCAGCAAACACCCATCTTTTGCCTCATCCAGCATTGAACTGCCACGCTGAAATCCCTCCTATCATGCATTGCTTTATGTCGCTTTTTCTAACGACAGGTCCCCCTTTGGAACATGCCACACCTGTAAAAATGAAACTTCCTTTTTATGTGCTACTGGCTTTTAAATGCATGCTAAGACCTAGCACTCTAGAAAGCATTCAGAATGAGGGTGAGACTTCATAAAGATGATACACGTTATTGCACTTAACATAATTGGTAGGGTTAAATAAAGATACCAATCCATTCAGTTGTGTGTGTCTGTGTGTCATTTTGTGTGAGTACAATTTTTCATATCCCTGTACATTGCGATCACTAAGAAACATAGCT